TAAAAAAAAAATAGAATCCAAATCACATTTAAAGCTTGATACTTATAAATATGAAAATATCAAGAGAATAAACAATACAAAAAAACATTTACCTTATATAATTAATGATAAAGTGTACGAATTTTTCAAACATAAAATTTTAAAAGCAATGGAATCTAAATTATGTTTAAAGGACAAAACATATGAAAATAATAACAACTACTTTAAAATATTATTTTCATTGAAGATAAAAGAAAACAATAGTTTTGAGTTATTATTTGCTTTAAAAAATAAGGGCACAAAGTTTAATCTTTAAAGAGAGATTTATTAAAAATACATATAATATAAAATTTATATATCATTTTTTATTAAAAATACATATGATATAAAATTTATATATTATCTTTTATTAAAAAATACACATAATATAAAAATTATCTTTTTTTAAAAAAAACGCGTAATCAAAAATAAATATAAATGATATATTATAAAGAACGCAGAATTAAAAAAATAAATATAAAATGATACATTATGATATCTATTTATAAAACGAGAAATTGAGAAAAACATAAAACGCTATTATTTAAAACGCAATATATATAATATTTTAAAAAAATAAAACGCGACCAATTATTTATTTTATTTCAATTATTCAATATTTGATAAATTTATTCTGCTTCAATTATTCTTAATCAAATTCAATATTTCTTAAATTAATTCTATTTCAATTACTCGACGATTCTTATTTTATTATGACGTTATTCAATATTTCCTAAATTCTAAAATCATTCATATACTGGAAATCTTCGCATATATTTAATAACAAACAATGATAATAATTAACAGAAGGATGACAAAGTCAATGTCAAACGAAATGAACAAAAACCGTTATGCGAAGATTGAACAGCAAGCACACCAGATCAATGACTTAGATTTTTGCCCAAGGAGAACCTAGGCGGTGTTCCTTTAGAGGGTGGTATGTTAAATATGGATTTATATTTATAATTATTTTATTTATACTAAATGTTGTAAATTGTCATTTGTTTCATTCATTATTAACATATTAAACATTTAACACAATTATATTATTTCATTCACATGACACAAGATTAAGAATTTGATTGATTGTAAAAGTATATATATATACATATAATTTATAGTTGTGAAGCAATATTTTTTAGATAAATTAAATTAATAAATATTCCACTTGACAATTCCCTGCTCACCTTAACACTGTCATATAGACGCTGTCTACGAATAAGTTGGTGATTTCGAGAGTTGGGTGCGAGCAGCTGTTAAAAATTTATTGACGTTCTTTATAGTAGCGTGAGGTTGATGCATTCTTGACTATATACACAATTTAGACCATGTCTGTTTCTTGTATATACTTGTATATTACATTTTTTGATTTTTAAAAATAATTAATCATATAATTTAAAAAAATTCATTTTGAAAAAAAATATAACAAAAAATATTTAAAAAAAAATGAATAAATAAAAAAAATTTTTAATTGATATTCTTTCTTTCATTCTTTCTTTCTTATTTTTTTAAATAATTTTTTTAAACTTCTTTGTTATATAAATTTTGGTTCATCTAAGAGGTTGCTAAGATAATGACTCTTCTAATATTGATAATGTGAGAGAAAAGATAATATAATGCACTGAATCAGGTCATAAATTATTAAATGTCAGATTAATCGTTTTATATGACAGATTAGGTGACAAACGATAAATTTTCAATCGCGTGCTTTCTTTCTTTCTTTCTTTCTTTCTTTTTAGCAAAAATTCGTACACTATGACCTTTTCGGCCTCAAATATCACAATTTTCACTAAATTATTATTTTTATTTCTAGGTGAATCTAGATCTCTAGAAATATTTTTTAAACTTTCTCTAATTTCTTTGATATCATTTGGAATTAAACATTCATTTTCATTTTGTTTAAAATTGTTAGTAACACTATTACTTTTTATAACCTTCTCAGGTTTATCAATCACCATTTCAGATATTTGCTTTTTAATTTTACTCATAAATGAATTTAAACTATCATTTATATCTTTTGATATCATAATGCTTTTACCAATAATAGGTACTAGTATTTGACTTCTCATTCCCACTGAAATTATTTATTTTTTTATTATTCAAATTTCTAAGTTCAAGTAAAATCAAATTCAAACTATTTTTTATACCTTCAGAAAAATAAAATTTAATCGCTGACATAGAATTCACATCTACAACATTGGAATCATCTAACTTACTCTCTTTATTTGTAAAATATTTATTCTTAATCATCTTAATTAATTGTATAATAAAAATCAATAAAATATATAATATGAAAAAAATTAAAGTTGTAGCCACACAATTGGTCACTTCCAATTTATCAAAACTCGAATTAAATATTTTAAAAATATTATTCTTATAAATTTGCATCTTATTGAAAGTAGGATTCCTATGATTACTAATAAAAAAAAACCATGTTCTCATTAAAATATTAGTAATAAAAATTTTATCATTAAAATTAGACCACTACGTTGTGTACAAAAATATATTTAAACAAAGAAAATATTTTTTTTTTATTTTAATCGGGATACGAATGATCTTCATCAGTAAAATTTCTTCTTCAAATACAAATGATCTTCTCTAGGAACCTCGTCCTATAATTTTGTTTTTCTCTATTCAAATATTTTTCCCAATTAGAATTCAGATCTTGGTAACTACGGTCACCATTTTTGTAAAAGTTACCTAAATAATTTTCACTATATTCTATTAATTGTAGACCAAAGAATTAGATAAAAGAATAATTCTTTATTCAAAATTTTCCCAAAGTACAATAATCTTCACGAATCGACAAAATTAATGAAAGATTACATCATATCCATAAATTTTCGAATGAATCTTTTTAATCGAAGAAAAATATAATATAAAAAAATAATAATTTTGATTGACATTTTCTTTAAAATAAATAAATATTTTTATTCCTCTTTAATTAAACATCTGCAACACTTTCTTTCTTTCTTTCTTTCTTTCTTATTTTTTTAAATAATTTTTTTAAACTTCTTTGGTATATAATTTTTGGTTCATCTAAGAGGTTGCTAAGATAATGACTCTGGTAATATTGATAACGTGAGACAGGCGCGTACGCAGGAATTTGGTCTGGGGAAAGGGGGGGGGGTAATAAAATTTTTTAAGAAATATTATTGTTTTTTAAAAATATCAAGCATAATTTATTAGGACTAATAACTATTTCTAATACACAATTTTAAATTTATGTGAATTATAAAAAAATAATATGTAAAAAATCACTTAAATGACCCAAAATAGAAATTTGATTTTTTTGAGCCTTTACACAAAAAATTTCTTAGGAATAATTGCATTTTGTATGTTATATATTTACAATGTAAAATCCAATATTCGTTGTGATTGAGCTAATTTTTCAATTATCTCATCCTTGCTTGTCGTCAAATGCCTATGAAAATTCAAAAGATTCAAACCTTTTCATCTACTTTCAGATGTTGTACTTCTTGGTATGTTTTTCAGAGACCTGTAGGCCCGGCCCCCGGACTGGAGAGTATTTTAATTTTTTAAATATACCCGGGCTGGGCCCGAAATTTTTAAAAAAACACCCAAGCCGGGCCTGAATTATTTAAAAAAATCATCCCAATCCGGGCTATATTTTTTAAAACAGCCTATATTTGAAATCGTCATTATTAGCTATAATCAAAAATAAATAAAATTTATTTTAAAAAAATCCGAGCCGGGCCTGAAAATTTTATTTTAAAAAAGGCCGAGCCGGGCCTTAAATTTTTTTAAAAAAAGCATGGCCTGGCCTGAAAATTTTTTAAAAAAAACCCAAGCCAGGCCGTAAAAAATCTTTAAAAAATCCGGGCCGTGCCCTGCAAATGGTACTTCTGCAGGCCTCTGTTATTCTTCTTAAAAAAGAGAATGTTCTCTCATTAGTTTACTAATGGGAAGAGTTTATAAACCCTTTTAATACATTGGGAATTTAATCTAAAATGTGTTTGAAATAATGCAGAGCATCCATAGCATTTTGGGACTATATCAACCATAGTTAATCTTATAATTCAGCTAGTAAGGCATCATAAGATACTTTAACAACTGCATATAAAAATCTAACAAATATTTTTTTTTCCATCACCATCTGAAAAAGGTTGGGAAGGCTTTTGTGGAAGTTATTTGCAGATTAGTAAGTGCTGCATGATGAATTAAAAATTCATTTATTTGGGTTATAAATGTATCTGATTTAAGATATACTCTTTTACTGATCCTATATTAATGTTTTAACGATGAGCTTGCCTTACTACAAGTCGAGGAAGACAAATATTAAACATGTATAGCTCTGCTTTTGACTCAACAATAAAATATAAAATATGAAATTCTTCATCAACATTAGCCTTAATTTCCTTGAGTTCTGATAAAATGCTCTCCGCTATTCTCATTTTCTTAATCAAGTCAATGTCATGTTTTTGAAAAGTAATACTTAAAATAGTTGTATAATTAAATAATACATTCTAATGGGAAATAAAATTTGGAATAAGTATTGAATCCAATAATTTTCTTGCTTCTGAGGAAATATTTCTTTCAGGTCATTGTGATATTTCAGCAATAGAATTAATAATCGGCTCTTCTAACTCCATAAAAGCTGTTACTGCTGCGGATACTCTATCTCGTTGGACAAGGTTGCAATTTCTTTCTCCCTGTTGGACAATTTCAGAAATTATTATTTGACTAGAAATTTAGATAAATAATACGCCACTAAAATTTGGAAATAATAGGTAAATTACGTCGAGGAAAACTTGAAATCGAAATTAATTGATAAAATAACTTAGTAGATGAATGTGATAAATAAATGTAATTAAATATATATATGAGATAGGAATAAATATTAACAAATATAAATTAATATAAACAATAATATTTTTAAAAAATATATCCGGCATCTGCATGCCAATGATGTGAGATAAAAGTAAATATAATGCATTTAATCAGGTCATAAATTATTAAATGTCATATTAATCGTTTTATATGACAGATTAGGTGACAAATGATAAATTTTCAATCGTGTGATTTTAGTAAAAACTCATACACCCTATTTATCCTTAACACAAAAGATGGCTATTCATATCAATACAACAGTAATAATATATATATAAATAAATTTGGGGATAATTTACATTTGATTAAGGAACAATTTGATGAAATATTAGAATCAAATAGAGACAAGTTAATTATTGTTGATTTTTACGCAACATGGTGTGGCCCTTGTAGAGTGGTTGGGCCACAATTTGAAGTTTATTTTAAAAATATTATATTTATAAAATTTTACATTAAGGATATGGCTAGTAAGATGAATAATATTGTATGTCTTAAAGTTGATGTTGATCAACATGAGGTTAGTATCAATCTGTACTTTTTAAATTATTTTATGTATAGGAATTGGTTGAAAGATATGATATTTCTGCTATGCCTACTTTCATTTATATAAAAAATAAGGAAAAAGTATAATCAATTATATACATCTATATATATTTTTTTTTAAATTAGGTTGATGTAATAAGTGGTGCGAATTTTGAAAAAATTCAAGAAAAAGTGAAGCAATACTCATAAATATAAAATAATTCTTGTGATTTTTGTTATTCAAAATTATTTTCTGGCATACTTCAATTAAATTTGAAATTTAATAATTAAAAGAAAAATAAATTATAAAGTTTATAAATACTAAGGTAAAATATGTAAAATTAGTTTGAAATCTGGCATAGCTCAAAATTCAACTTGGTACAAGGTAACTAATTATTTTTATCTTCTTCAGCTCAGTGCTGTCATTCTAAAATACTTGACATGCTATTGAGAAAAAATTGGTTGGGACATGCTATTAAAAAATAGGTAGGCACATGCTAAAATGGGCAAAAAAAAATTGTTGTAAGAATTTGAGGTAATAGATATTAAAAATTGAAATGTATTGCAAAAAAATAAAATGTATTTCAAAATTATTAAAAAAATGGTGTAAAATCTTTTTGTTTTAAATAATATAAACAAAATAATGGATGATTAAATTAAAGAATAACCAAAGGATTTGTTATAGGGGCTGGGGGATAATTTTTTAAATACTGAAATGATTTTTTTGGAACATTAAAAATCATATTTATTAAAACCAATATTTAAAAAAATGACAAATAATTAAATATTGTTATTGTAAAATACAAAATATTTAAGAATATAACATTACAGTGATAAAGCACATCAAGTTTACTACTAGGGAAGCAAAACATTTATTTAATAGTCCCATACAAAAAATGGTGATTTGAAATTAGAGATTTGCAAAGTTAGGCCTGGCCCAAGTTCGGGCCAGGCCTAATATTTAAAAAAAAGGGCCAAGTTGGGTTGGACCTTGGAAATTTTTTTAAATATATCTAAATTTACTAATTTTATATTGAATTTTTTATGTAAAATAAAAATATTTGATTTTATTTATTGAAAGTAAAAGACATATAACATGTCTTTTATTTTGAGTAATTATAAAGATTAATTTCTATATTTAAATAAATTTGGGCCAGGCTGGGTTGGTAAATTTTTTTTAAAAAAATTTGGGGTTCAAGATAGGCCGGCAAAACTTTTCTAAAAAAAATTTCGGGCCGGGCTTGAAAGATTAGGCCCAATGCAGATCACTATTTGAAATCATCTTTGTTTTCGAGTAGAATTTTGATTAATATTTTGTTCATCCTTCAATTTGATTTTTGCTATAGGTTTTTAATTCTGTAAATGAGTGGTTGATTCGTTGCCATTTAACTGCCTTCAAAAAATATTCATATCCAAAAATCTTTATCATTCCAAATATATTTTTTTAGATTAGTAGGAATGACCTAGATAATTAGAATTCTCATCCAGTTTATGAATGCAAGTTTAATTTATTTTTAAATTTTGTAAAATTGGTTTTGGACTTCTTTTTTTAATGATCAATTTCTTAACATCAAAATTTCCTGAGCAAAATGAATTAATTTTTTAAAAAATAGTAAAGTATTAAAATATCAAAAATTATTTTTTTTACTAAAATATAAATCCTAGTTAATTATCCACTTATTTTTTAAAAAAAAGTATGAATCATGTTTAGCTTTTCATGAAGACTTAAAAAAAATATTAGAATAATTTAGTAAAATATTAAAAAATTCACTAATTGGACACTAATATAGAAAAATGGTATTGTGTATAGAATCCTATTCTTATAGAAAATGTCATAAATTAAAAACAAATAATTTTTTTTTGACCAAAAATAAATCCTTCTTAATTGGAAGCCAATTAAAAAATAGTAATAATGGAATTATATTTAAAATCTCATGATAATTAAGAAAATGCTAACAAATAAATAATCAAAAAGAGATATCACACTTTATTTTGACTAAAATATGAATCCTGGCTAAAAGATAATGATTAGAATCTCAATATCAAGAATATACAAACATAAGTTTATAAATGTAGAAGTAAATTATGGAAAAATCAAAACTTTAATAAAACTAAGAATTATCCATAATTGGGCACAAAAATAATAGAATCATGTTTAATATTGTAAGGTCATCTAGAAAATATTAACATATGTTATAAAATAATATACTGATAGTAATATCAAAAAATAATTTTTAATACTAAATTATGAATCCTTACAAATTTTTGCTTATTATCCATGGTATATTAATCAAGATATTAGTTTTGGAAATGATAATATCTTAAGAATTTAAAGTGGAGAAATATTAAACTTAGTAGTTGGTGGAAATTAAATGAGGTAAAAGAAAATTTCAAATAAAATTTATTGCTCAAGAAATAATGGTTTAGTTGACAGCTTAAAATTAGTAAAGGATAAAGTGTCCAAATCATTTAAGCAAGTTTTATGATAAGAATTTGAAAAGTGGGAGAGGATAGTGAATTTACAAGGGGTTTGTTGATAAAATCACGAAGTGCAGGCAAAGATAAAGGAATTTTACTAAAAAATGGAAAATGAATAGATATATTAAAACGATAAAAAAATACAAATTTAAGAAATGGGTTGCTAGTACAATCATTAATATTTGAGACCGTTTTATTTTAATGCTTTCAAACACTACAAAAATTTTTTTAAGAATGGGCGGGTTAAAAAAAATTTAAACTGTGGGAGGGTTAAAAAATTTAAACAATGGGCGGGCGTTAAAAAAATTTAATTCATTTAAATAAATATTAATAAAAAAATTGGTCCTATGAACTTTTTTGGATATTAAAAATTAAAATGTCCTTTTTTGGTATCATAAAAACTTTTTTCTTAAAATAAATAAACTTTTTTGTATATTCAAAACTACTTTGGTGGAAACGACAAGAAAGAAATTTGCCAAAACTATCAAGATTAGCTAGAAAAATATTGGCAATTTCTGCAACTAGTGCTTCTGAACGAGGATTTAGCATTACTGGAAGGTTTTTAGAACGAAGAAGAACGTGTTTGAATCGATTCATTATTATTTTTGCATTATTAATTATATAATATTAATTTTATATTTATATTATTTTCATAAATATTTTATTTGATCAAGTAAATTATCCATAATTTAAATTAAATATTTTTTTATGCTTGATATAGTAATTTCCGAAAACTTTTTTTAGAGGTGTAATGCTGAAATTTTTTTTTATTAGATGCTTAAAAAATTGAAAGAATAGCCTTAATTAAATTTTATAATAGCAGGCTTGGGTTAAAATTTTTTTTATAAATAATGGGTGGGCGGGTAAGGAATTTTAGACTAATGGGCGGCGGGTATATTTTTTGAAAACTATGGGCGTGCGGGTTAAAATTTATTTTAAACATTAGGTGAGCGGGCTTATGGTCTAAAACCCCGCCCATGCAGACCTCTAATCTAGATTACAAATATAAATTTTCTATGTTGTGCAAGTTTTTCCTTGATACACATCTGGAGGAATCATGGTCCGAAGCTTTAAATATAGGGGCTCAATTCTCTTCCTTAGTTCCTAACGGTTTGATTATACTTGTAGAACTATGTATAATATCAAAGTCGGTTTGGTAAGATCTATTTACTTTTTTTAATTTATAAGAAAATTCTAATTCTACTAAATACATGGACTAATTACAATAACAAAACATTAAAGAAAACTTCATTTGTATTTGAGATGAAAAACTATCTTATTTTACAATCATTTAAATTATGATAATACGTATTATTTTCTACTTAAACTTTATTTAAGTTCATATTCATACCCCTAAGCTAACTTATTCGTTTTAATATATAAAATTTATATTTTTATGAATATAAAAATAGTTAATTTAATTACATAATGCATTGGAGCTTGACCTTGATTATGGAATTTATATGTGTTACAGATTAAATTAATTATAATTAGAGACAAACAGTTAAACTTTATATATTATAACCTTAAAATATTACATACTATAAATTTTTAAATATTTACTTAAAAATAGCAGGGATGTGAACCCGGATCCTGAACCCTCATATTTTGGCTGTACCCGGACCCGGGCCCTTTTTAAAAGTGGAGGGTCCAAGGGTTTTAGGTATAAAAATTTTTTTAACTTTTTTGGAATCATTTATTTTAATCTTCGCGTTTTTCTTTCAATTTTCTTCCTAGATTTCCATTTTATTTAGAGATTGATGTCCTAAATTATTTTCTAGTGCAGTTAATAATATTTTATTATGTAAATTTATTAATAAGCTATGTTATAAAAATATGTTGATTATTTTGAAAGTAAATTATTTTGTAGTGCAAGTAATAATATTTTAATTTAAATGATAATGCACAACAGTTGCTCTTCAATTTGTATGAAGCGAAGTCATTTGTTGGAAGATGATTGGTGTCAAATAAAGGACCTTACTAGTGTATTAGTTCCTTTAAATATAACAATATTAAGATTACAATCACAACAATTATATTTATTTGATTTTTATGGCTTATGGTTTAGATGCAGATTAGATTTAGTTAAATTTACAGTTTTTTTATACGAAATATTAGAAAACATAAAAATTCGAGACAACAATATTTGCAATATAGTGTTGTATACGTTTCTATATATTTAGACCCTCGATATCAAGTTTTATTGAGTATTGAGCAAAAACAAATGGCTAAAGACCATCTTAAGGATTTATGGTATACGCAAAACTCCATTATTTACATTATATTAGAGGCGACGATACCTACTGGTTTTAGTGATAATAATAGCAACATTGATGATCTTGAAATTTTACATTTAGATAGAGAAAAAAAAATCAAATTATTATCAGGTAGAAAGGAGCAGTGGCGTAGCTACGAGGGTGGTTTTCGGGTTTGGACCCCTTCCAGAGCAATTTTTTTTTAGATTATACGTTCAAAAGACTTAAAAGTGACTTTGTATCAAATAAATACCATTAATATTTATATTTTTCTGGTTTTGATGTTTGTGAAAGGATATTATATTACTATTGAATTTATTCTGGGTAATATTATTATAAAGTCATTGAGAATAATCCCCTAAATTATAATAACATTATGCATGCATTTAAAAATATTTATATATATTGTCGAAGATGTGGTTATGATTTTTAAGATAAACCCGGCTGAAGGCCGGGCAAAAGGGCCAAAGGCCCGTTAAAGGGGGTCTAGAGGCGAGGCCCCCAGGATTTTATATGTATGGACCCCCTCTAAGGAAAATTCCTAGCTACGCCAC